CTTCCTTTGTCACTTGCTTAATAATTAATTATAATAATTTTAAATTGACTAATCAAATAAGGTTTTGCATTTTTATAGCTGAATGGTGGACTTTGTTTGGGCATTCGGCACCAAATTTACAAAAGTTGGCTATCAAAATCTTGAGTTTGACATGCAGTGCATCCGAATGTGAGTGTAATTGGAGTGTATTTGAACAAGTAAGTTTTTATTTTTATTTTCTATTAATTGAATGAATGAATTAAAAAGTAAATTTTTTTTAACAAACATATTTTCCAAAATAAAGAGAAAGTAAATTCTGTTTTTTTCTTTTTCTTTTTTTTTTTTCCTATTTCAGATTCATTCTAAGAAGAGAAATCGACTTGACCACCAAAAAATGCATGATTTGGTTTTTGTAAAGTATAACCAAGCTCTTAAAGCTCGTTATAATATGCGAGACGAGATTGATCCTATTGTTCTAAATGAGATTGATTTCGATAATGAGTGGTTGGTTGGAGAAAGTGGTGAAGTTGAAGATGCTCATAATGATTTGGTTTTTGAAAATGATAATCTGACTTGGGGAGATGTGGAGAGAGCATCAGGGGCAAGAGAAATTAGAACTTATACTAGGGGACAAGCAAAAAGAAATACCACTGCAGCCTTCACCTCTCAAATTCCAGCATTAACTTTTAGAACTCCAACCATAACCTCTAGTGTTGATGCAATTTATGCTACTAGAATTAGTGAAGAAGCTCATACTTTATTAGATCTTGAAAAGTCAGAGGAGGAAGAAAAGGAGTTTGAGCATGGTAGAACAAGTCAGAAAAACAAGGATGATAATGATTTGGTGGCTGAGCAAGAAGAATTAGAAGCAAAAGAGAGTGATGAAGAGTATTAAACTCTTGAATGATTTTTTGTTTTAAAGTTTTATTATTTGACTTTTTTTTGAATTGATCTTGTTTGATTTTTGTACTCTTTAAGTATATATTTTATTGTCTTGTTTGACTATTATAATCTATGATTTTTATTTGTTAAAACTTGATAATATTGTTTTTTATGATTTTTGGTAATTTTTATAAACTCTTAGGTTAATTTATACTTTTTATTACTAGATTTGTCTCTTATTTTAATTGTTAGATTTATATTTTAATTTTTTTATTAAATAGCCGTTATTTGTCAATAGCGGCCGCTACGCTACTCGCTACGCTATCATAGCGGATTTTGGCCTTTCCACTATATGCCGCTATCCGCTATTGATAACACTGCATAAATCTTTACAAGACATGTTTTGGAGAAAAGAGTTAAAAACTTACGACAAGTTGTTCCTTGAAGAGCTTGCAAACAAATTCCTATAAGAAAACAGGACCAAGATGTAAAGATCAGCTAGCACAACAAAGATTCTCTTGTGCAATAGCTAAGCACACTAATTTTTATTGACCAAAAATAAACAAACTTAGATGTTAGATAATTACACATTTCCCTTCTGACAACTTAGTGGCCATTGGGTTGTAAAATTGTTATTTGAAAGATCACTGAAAAAATAAATAAATAGTAGACTGGTTAGTGATAATTCATCAATTCCTAACATGTTTCTCTAAACTATACTTGAATATATAGCTTGAATTGGTTAGATGCATATAGTCTTATTAAAATACAGATCATCTATATTTCATTCAAATTGTATAGCAAAAAAGAGTAAGTTGACATCCATTCGCAGATAAAGAAATATTAAACAAGTTACTTTGAGTGTGTAACAAGGCACCAGGCACCGATATTTTAGTATCTTACTTCTTAACAAAAACAAAAAGATGTAAAAAACTTTGTATGAAAGGAAATTCAATAAAATATAGGAGATAGATTCTTACATGAACTTTTGTCTTTCCAGCATCCAAGAAGGAATGTTCCCAGTGAGCAAGTTTCCAGTCAAAAAACTAAAATGAGAGAAAAAAATTGATATTAATTACATGTTTAACATAAAGAATTCAATAGGAAGATAGAAAATTTACGACAATCTAATAAAAAAATAAAAATAAATAAAAGAGGTGAAATTTATGTAAAATAGAGAGTAAATTTTAGTCACTTAGAGATGATGTGCTTACATGTAAGTAGTGCTTGCAAGATTAGAAGCGTTTGGAATTGATCCAGTGAGTTTGTTAAAGCTAAGATCTCTGCAAGAAAAATACATAGCAAGGAGATTAAATTAATAATTCCATGGTTCCTAGAGAGATATGAAGAAACCAATTCTGCACTCACAAAACTGTCGAAATTCTCATTTGCCACAAATAATTGGGTAGATCTCCAATGATATTGCAACTCCTTAATATCCTATGCAATTAACATAGTCACAAGAATCTATTTATCATTTATGTTCAAGAAAACCCATTGCCTTAGTTAATGTGAAGTGCATCATAGTAGATTTAATTATACTCACAGTGTCGTCATCGCTGTACCAATAAGTGTAGGAAATGCTTGATCAGTTCCATTTAAATCGCTAATTCTCCTGTATATTGGCAATATTCAGTAAAGAGTAACCATATGTTTGGGTTAAAGGGAACGGAGAGGAGGGGAATTATATCCTTCTATTCCTCTCCCCTCATTTGGATAAGTAAATAAATTAAAATAAAAAATAAAGTAAAAGACTTTCTTCCCCTCCCCTCCCCTCCCCTCCCCTCCCTTTCCCTTCATTCCCCTCAACCCAAACATATTGTAAATGAAACAACACAATCTGTTAATCACAATATCCCAATTTTTAGAATTGAAATAGAAAGTCCATACTTACAAGTCATCTAGCCTTGCTAGTGCACTTATGTTAGGAATCGGCCCCATTAAGCCACTTGCCTGAATTACTCTGACATTATCAAATGTTTAATTTAGGTAACACAAATCAAGAAACACCAATTTAAATGACTTAATTATAAGCCCAAATGGTTATCCTAAAAACAATGATTAAGACACTCACAACTTTGTAAGATTTGTCCAGTTCTGGATAAAACTAGGTATCCTTCCTGTGAATTGGTTGTCACCAATCCGACTACATCATTTCAGAAATAGTCAAAATGATCACAAACTAAGCAATTATAAACTAAACCTTGAAAATTAACAAAAAATCAGAAGCTTACAAGTCCTGCAAAGAGGTTAGCCTAGCAAATGTTGTTGGCAATTCTCCAGTAAAGTTGTTGGAGGTAAGATGACTGCAATATTAGCAACAACAACATCGACAATGCAATTACATATGAACAAATGTATACAACAAACACAGGAGAACAAACTATAGTCTTACAGGTTCTCAATGTGCGTAAGGTCCCCAAGCTCTGGCGGCAAAGGTCCTGACAACTGATTAAACTCTACAGTACTATACATTATTTATATATAAAAAAATATACATCCATCAAATTTAAATACCCATGAACAAATCATAATAACAATAAAAATTCACTTATCAAAACTCACAAGTACTGAAGAGTGCTTATGTTCCCCATCTCTTTTGGGATCAAACCCGTTAAGCGATTTCCAACTAAGGAACTGCAACATTAACATTAATATATAAACAAATAAGCATATAGTGGAATATAGAAAATATGGTTTCTTTTCATCAAATGATTAACAATTTTAGACCAACTTACATTTAGCATGCATGATCAAAATAAATAGAAGAATTAATCCGAACTATTGTTTTTTAAAATAATAACTATATTGGAAACTGAGTATATAAAAATCCTTATTACAAACACTATATATGTATATTATGCAGTTATTAGAACATCACGCAGAACTTAAAATGCATGTGAGGAAGCAGGAAGCTTACATATTGACAAGCTGCATGGAACCCCATTCCGCAGGGATTGAGCCACTGAGATAATTGAGAGACAGGTCGCTGTAAAATGAATAGATGAATTAGAAAAGTACAAAAAGGAAAATATAAAATGGGTAATTAATGGAGAAGATTAGGGGCAAATTGTAATTGATTATGAAAATGTTTGGGAAAAGTACTTACATATTTTGAAGGTAAGGGAGCCTGACCAACTCTGATGGGAGAGTGCCTGTGAGGTTCTGTACCTTCAGCACTCTGCGCATCAACAAATTTTTTTTTTTAAATGAATTTTGACCAAATATTCAGAAAACCAAATCGATTGGAATTCGGCCAGTTCATAAATTGATATGTTAAATTTTGCTTCTGGACCCAGCTCACTAGAACCATAGTTTATAGGCCCAGGCTTGTTTGATTGAGCCCACTTGTTTTGCCACAATCACAAAAAAATGCACTGGTCTTGTACTCATCGGCTGGTTTTTACCGGTATTGACACAAATCCAATGCTGATGAAGGCCAATACCGTACCGCCTGTATTTTAGATTATACCGGCCGGTATATTTTATTGTCCATTTTTCATTTTCACACAAACATATTAAAAAAAAAGAAGAAAAAAGGGCAAAACAAATGGTGAATGAGGAGGAAGAGACTGTAATTGTGGTGAATATGGTCGGTTCTAGGAACAGGAAATTATGTAGAAAATTCAAATATATATATGAATAAAAATATTTAATTAAAAAGGTATAAATTTGGATGAAGGAATTGAAGCTTCTCCATTGCCTTCCATAAATCAATGTCCATGTTCTCCCCCCGCAAGAAAATCAACGTCTACTATCCTCATCACAACCGTCGCCTCCCTTTCTAAGTTGAAGAAGAAGAAGGCTGAGAATGATTGGGAATTTGATTGAAGGGGAGAACGTTTGAGATTCTATGCTTTTTATTTTTTTTAATTAAATATTGAGATAACGCATGTAAAGGATGTGGATGGTAGAAATTGAAGTTGGAGGAGATATTTATTGAGGTAAGAATTAATAAGGCTTAATAGATGGATACGCGTTTTTTTTTTTTTTTTTTTGAAAAATTTGTAATTAATTACAAGGTTAATTGAGGGAAGAAGGAAAAGGAATCTGTGAAATTCGAACGTGCAATTCACTGAAAATGAAAATCCTTAACTCAAAATCTAATGCCACTGGACCGAAGCAGGCCATTCTAATAAATGGATACGTGTTAATAGACAAAAAAAATATGAATATGAATATTCTTCAATTTTCTTAAAATTTTGTAATGACCATGTTTTATTTGCAAGTTAATTTTCGACTATGGGTATGATCCAATTAAATTTGTTAAGGTAATTAAAAAATTATTAATTTTTTATTAAAAGTAATTAATATTTGATAAAATAATTAATATTTATTTGTTAACTTATTTGTATAGTAAGAGTATAGCTTAAAATAAAAAAATATTTTAAAATGTAATTATTCCTTTTTACTATTAAAATAATTTAAGAAAATAATTAATATTTTTTTTATTTTAATATATCTTTTGATATTTATTTAATTTAGTTATTAATATATAATATGAATATTGTTAATTTAATTAATTTTTACATTCTATATATTATTATATTTTTAAATTTATTTATTTTTAATTTTATATTAAAAATAATAATTTTTAAGAAAATAATTGATACATTCTCTTATTCAACATATTTTCTGACACACTTCAATTTAGTAATTAAAAATATAATATAAATACAATCAATTTCATCGATTTTTGTATCCTGTGTACATGATTATATCATTAAATTTATCTATTTTTAATTTTAGATAAAAATTAATAAATTTTTAATGAATGTATCATACAGTGTATTAAATTAGAGTGTATATCAATCACTACCTTAATTTTTAATAAATATACTTCACAATATACGAAATTAAAAGATAAATCGAAGTATTCAAGAACTTAATAATGTACTCTCGGATCTATCTACATGTCCTTTCACACTTAATTCAAGTACTTTTCACGTAGCGAGGAAAAAATTAAATATTTTTTTGGTACTTAATTAGCGTAAGGAAGTTTTCTGTTTTTTATCAATTTTTTTCAATTGTTATTAATACGCTATTATTTTGAAAAATTGCGAGAAAAAACTCAACAAATTTTAAAAAGGATCACGAGATAGGAGCTGACAACTTAAGGTGGTAACCTTTTTTTTAAGAAAAATGATTGGTACATTTTTTTGGTTTAATATATTTTTTAACATAATTTGGTTTAATAATTAAAAATATAATATAAATACAGTTAATTTAATCCGTTCTTGTATTTTGTGTATATAATTGTATCATTAAATTTGTTTGTTTTTAATTTTAGATAAAAAATAATAATTTTTTAATAAATATATCATGCAATATATTGAATTGAGAGTGTATCAATCACTGTCCTTATTTTAAATGGAACAATATTGTAAGAAGTAGATTTTTAATTTAAGGAGTAGATATGTGCGTGAATAGGTTTAAAAAAAAAAGAAAGGATAAAACTTAAAATTAAAAGAGAAAAATGAAAACCGAGAAAGTAATTTTAAGAAGTAAAAATTAAAATATTCTATATTAAAAATGTTAGAATATTTAATTTTAATTATAATTTAAATAAATTTTATATTATATATCACTTATCATATAATTTTAATTAAGCATCTTAATATTTTTAATAATAAAAAGCTTCGATTTTTTTGTATCCTTATAGTAATTAATAGACCATTAATTAATAACTCTAGGATGGCCAAAAAAAAAAAAAATACATACATATTTTTTTTTTGCACAGCAAATACATATATATATATATATATATATAAGAATTGCTGAGCAGATAAAAACAAAAATTCTCTGTAATTGTTGATTAAAATTAAGAGAGATAAAGAGGAGCTTACATGCTAACGACATGGGGGGTGGTGCCACTGGAACAGTTGACAGAATTTTCAAATAGACCGTTTGGATGTGAAAACCATCCCGACTCTCCACTGCATGGATCTACGCTGAAATTCCAGTTTGTCTTCCCCAACGTCTTGGCTATGTCTTTCAAGGCTTGCACTGCAAGTTGCAACAACAACAAAATTAAATATATAGTCACTAAAAAAAATGAAAAAGGACGTCGATCACGGAAGTAATTACGTTATATAGAAAATAAGGTATATATACGTACATTCGATATCAGGTAATGTGGCTGCGAATGCACAATTTGCAAGGAAAAAGGCCATGAAAGAAGCGAGAAGAAGACGGGGAAATAACATGGCTGCAGGCATCTGAAAGTTGGAGAGACTCTAACGAAAAGAAGAATCAGGCTGAGTATATGCGTGCGAATGAAGAATGATATGTATGAGTTTTGTTTTGGTTTGGCTTAAAGAAAAGAGAAGTGCAGAGAAATGAGACCTGCTCGAAAGTCAAGTGAAGTACTTGGCTATTGAATATGGCGAGGAGAGAGCAAACAACCCCATCATAATGTTGTCCCTACAAAGCTACTTTTACAAAATTAGCTTTTAATTCCCCAACTTGCATTTTTTTTGCAAGCGGTGCAGGATAGAATTTCAACGAAACTTAGCCTTGTCAAAAGAGGCGTCCTGGGTGATGTGGAGACTGCTACATGCGATATGTGTGGGGATTGTTTGGAAGATTCAACTCATGTACTTGTGCATTGTAAATTTACTCATAAGGTATGGTCTCTTGAAATGGTGGGGTATTTCAATGGTTCTGCCAAGGTCCTGCTTGGATGCCTTTGAGCAACACTCTAGTGTGATCCATGACAGGAAGTAAGAAAAGGTACGGGGCCGTGATGTGGGCTGCGGTGGTATGGTCACTTTGGCTTGCAAGGAATGACAGATTGTTTAATGGAAAACAAGCTGAGGAAGGAAAGGTGGTAGAGCTTATTCAGGTGCGTGCACTGCACTGGAACACAGCTAGGGGCTAGCTCTGCAATTTTAATCTATATGATTGGATATTAGAGCCCATCGAATGTTTACGGTCAGTAATTAGGTGAAACTTGTCTGGTGGGTTTCCGTTCTGGCAATAATATCTCGTCAGGAAAAGTGGTATGTTTTTAGCTTTTCCACTTGCTGTATCAACGTGAGTGGATTTGGGATGGATGTTATATTAATAATTTGTATGAATCTGAGTGGCTTTTATAATTACATTATCTATTTGCATCTTACATATATTTTTTTTATATTAACATTTTAAATTAATTTTTGTTTCAATCAACATCTTTTATAATTTAAAATATATAAAAACCTTTAAATTACCAATAAAATTATAGTGTAAATAGGAGGTTTGGCCATAAATTCAAAGTGAATAATGGAGGGTGTTGATGATGATAAAAATTAATTTAAAATATTAACTGAAAAACAAAAAACAAAAAAAAAAAAAACGTGTAGGGTGCAAATAGAGTCTGTGGCATTTAATTTTGGTTGCAACTGAAAACCGAACCGCATCCGCCTAATCAAAGTTAGTCATATTCTTTCCTCATTAATTTCATGAGCTTATTCTATTGTATTCCATAGAATTCCAGAATTGAATGGGTAATTATGAATGGTTTCCTTAAGTACATAAGTTATGAATGTATTTAGCATATTTTTTTATCATTAATGTATAAATTAAATAAAAGTTTATATTAATTTAAGGGTAATGATATGAAAATTTTTTATCCAATTTTTTTTTACTATTTTTATATATTATTAAATAAGTAATTTAATATTAACGATTTGTTAATTTGAGTAACAAAAGGTGGGTTTCTTTTATATACAATTTCAAGTTTAAATTTTATAATTAGAGAAATAGACGTTGGGAGACTTCCTCCTTATAAAGTTTGATACAATTCGATTTCAAATTAGTCGAAGTTCAACATAACTTCTAAATGCTTGGGAACTAATACCAAAATAATAATAATAATAAATATAATATCACGAGTTTTAATAAAGTGAAACAAGTTAATCACTAAATAATATATAAAGTTATGCAAAAAAATTATCTCTCTTAATCATTTTTCTTAATCTAATCAATTGCCTAATAAAAAATGTCTACATGACATGTATACTAAAACTAGTATAAATTTTTTCTATATAAATTAATAATATCTTTAAAAAAAATTTACTACATCTTTAACATGTGACCTAAATTTCCTACTTTCATAAGCACCGGTGAACCATCAGCCACGAAATCTAATGGTAAAATTACTTATGCATTTAACAATAAATCTAGACAATCTTTAGTCTATACGTAAAAAAAAAAAAAATAAATAAAAATAAAAATCAGCGTCGGTGTCTAGAAACAAGAATGAGGGGTGGTAGGAGTAGACTTAGAAAGGCAAGTCAATGAAGGAAAATGGTAAGAAGAGAACAAACAATTGCATCATTTTGCCTACGGCGTGGAAATCCTTACATAATCATGTGGCGGATAAGATATGATAAAGTTAGGCCCAAAAAAGGACAAAAAAGGAAAAAAAAAACAAAAAAACAAAAAAAGAGTCACACATGATTTTATAAAAAGTGTTTCTAAATAGTTATTTTACTCCAAATTAGTTAGAGATAAAAAAAAAAAAGGGGGTAAATCAAACCGAAAATAAATACAAAGCTCACAATACACTGAATTTTAAAAGACTAGAACGGTACTATAATCTATAACCATTTAATTTTAGCTCTACCTATAATATCTTAGCAAAATTGTTATTTCTTAATTAAAAATTTTAATTTAATATTAAAGTTAAAATTTTAAATTAATACGAAACAACTAACTTCTTAAATATATCAAAATAATATTTTTCAAATTACTATTTCAAGTCCAATTTAATTTTATACTGCAGTTATTTTTAGATGATCGATCCTTTTTTTTTTTATATATGTTATATAAATAACCATTCTTAACTTTTGAGTTTTGGGAGACGATATTGGTGCAAGTTGAATGGATTTAATTTTAAATAAATCAATTAATAAGTAGGTGGGGTGGATTAAAAGTTAGAAAATGATTATTTTTATCATGCATGCAATCTAACATAATGAAAATCCTTCTGAGTTTTGAGAAAAAAATATAAGTAATGATAAAGAGGATGAAAATTTGATACAAAAAATTAGGAGCAATAATATGATATAAGGCACGTCATTAAATTAGTTAATATATATAATATTATAAGTCTAAAAAAATAAAAAAAATTAATTATTAAATAATATAATATATTTTTTAATATTTTAAATCATATGACTTATATTATATTATTGATCATAAATTTTAATTCTAAATTTTGATCTTATTTATCATTGATAAAAAAATGGGTATGAGTTAATGAATTTATCTCTCTTAATTTCTTTTATTTTTTATTTTTTTTCTTTTCATACCTCATAACCATATGTACACATAGTTAATAGAGAAATGAACACAATACGACCCTCATAACTGCAAGTCAGCAATGAAAGAGAAAAAGTACTTAATAACAAGAAGATAACTAGGTAGCCATGTCTATGGAGGTATGTGCATGACTATGTCACCAAATTATTATTATTTATTTTAATTTTTTTGTTCCTTTTAATTCTTAATTTAATTAGACATTTTTCCTACTACAGACTACAGTTGTGAACAATCAGAATCGTCGATGGATTGGGTATAATGAAATGAGCTTTTATTGTGGACTGATTTTTATTTAACAAAAATATATTGAAATATATTTAGTCTAATCAAATTATTAAAATTAATTTTTTAAATGTATAAAACTAATATAAGAACTTATTTTTTAAGATTGTTTAAGAATAGATTAATTTAAACTTATACAAAAATTGATCAAGAGATACCTTGATTGTCTAATGTCTATTAATAAACAAAAATATATTAAAAATTTTGGAATATGTAGATAGAATATAAACCTTTTAAAGGCAAGGGGGCGTAAATGTTGAATGGAGGGTCGTGGCACCGGGATGGTGTATGATCCATAGAAATTTCAAAGCTTCTAATTACAAGAAATGATGGGCCCCCAGCCCTCAACGCAGCCACACACTTTAGACTGATCTAAATGGCTTAATGGTTCAACGTACAGATGTTAAATAGTTTGGGCAATTTGGAGCCTTTAGAGATTCTAACAATAATTGATTGATTTTTCTCTCTTAAGGTACTCCTACTTTTCAAACTTGATTTTTTTTATTATGTACATATTAATTGAACCTTAAATTTATAATTAAAATATAAAAATTTTTATCACCAACTTATATAATTGATGATTCCAACTTGATAGTTGATATAGTCATCAATGTTAATTGATCTCTTACAAAATTTTTTAATTTATTTGTTGAGTCAACACGATTATATTTCAAAGTTTGAAACTTCAACGAAATCAATTCAAATTAATCAAGAAATAACCTTTATTCTGCTTTTCTTTTTTGTATCGTGACTAACCTTTATTCTAGTAATAAACTAACTAAAAAAATTAGCTAGTCAAGAAAAAGCATAAAATTTTCAAAGCAGGAAGTTTATAATCATTTCCCTCTTGCATGCAATTATATGTGTTCCTTGATCATAAAGGCTATGAAAATTTCCGAAATTAAGTTAAATTGATAATCGTTTTTATTATGTATTTTGAGGAAATTCTTTCATATCTTTCTCTTTTATTTTAATTAATTTTAATTGAGATGTATTGTAGATTAATATCTCTCTAGAAATAATTATATGTTGATCGACATAATCATATGACAATACATGTTGAGCAGTTTTTTTTCTTTTTTTTTTGGGAAAATAGGCAATGATACATTTTGAGTTGTTGAACTGTTACTAAATGGGACTTCCGTTGATTTATTGATGCATGCTTGAAGAAAAGTCAGTTATTGTTATTGCCGCCTTTTCTTCTTGTACTTTTAGGTTTTTTTTTTTAAAAAAAAAATAAAGACAGAACACGCTATACTATATCCTTTTAGGCTTTGATTAAAGGTAATGATTGGTATTTTATGAGCAGCTTTACCAAATATATATATATATATATATTGAGTAATGGTGGAAGGACGAAAACAGAACGAAATAATAGACGACAGATTACGTAAGATTCATATCTGTGGTGTAATTACTAATTTAATTTTTTTGCATAACCTATCGTCTCTGTTTTCGTCTGCTCCACCGTTACTCATAAATATTTCATGAGCAGTACTAGGCGCACTCGCCTTTTGCAATCCCCAGCCAACACATCCTTTTTATTGGACCACGTAAGCTTGCTTTTGGCTTTGAAAGGATCACCTCTTAAAATCAAAATAACGTGGCCTAATGAAAATGGAAGTGTTGGTTGGAGAA